ATCAATTATGCATTAACTTATGTTACAATTCCTGCATAGAAGCTATAATGTGGACTACATGCAGGCCAGCATGGGCGTTCTGTAGACTTAATCCTAGCAATTTAGAGTTTTGGATCTCTCCGGATCTGCCCGCTTGGAAGTATAATAATAATAATGTATGGATTATGTGATGTCAGCATGAGATAGATTACAGCTGATTACTGATATTCAATACGGAAAACTAACAATTCTGCTTGACCTGGTTGGGGAACGATTTTAAGATTACATCTTAATTACACGAAGTATGGGTCTAGTCACTGGAGGCCGTCCATTTTTTTTTTTTTTTTTTTTTTTTTGCTTTTTTTTTCAAATAAATAACCTATCATGAAAATTGGCTTGATTAATTACATGTTTGTCCTTGGGATGGTTTATCAATTATGGATGATGATCTATCATAGATACATGTCACTGATGAACCCTTGCTTGGAGACACTGGGTGTGTTCAGGTGGGGTCTAAGTTAAAACCCTAAGACCTATAGTACACGTTACTGGATGAGCAAGTTGTTTCGGCTGGGAATCTGAGTATCTGGTGTACAGTAGGACATCTCTTTGCTCTAATGATATGCGTTCACTCATGTAATCTAATTCGGTTGGATTGTTCACACAGGTTTTCATTTAAAACCGCTTAGGCCACAAGATACTTCTTTAAACCCCCTTTACACTGGACGGCGTCCTTTCTGCGTCCTTTGTGCCATCATGACACTGGCATGGCTGTGGTCGTAGAAAGGAGGCACAATCATCGTTTTGGTTGCAAAATGAATGCTTAATGACCGGCCAGTAGTTGGCACGTAAAGTATTATTTTATTTTTACTCTCAAACCTTGACCGTGCTGTAGTGCGCAGAAGGGACGCTGTTCAGTGTAAAGGGGGCTTTACACAACTGTCCAATTAATGATTGAAAAGTAGGGTTCCTCCATGCCCTGATGCAGTCTAGGTAGTCAAAATAAACAGTGTATCGTCTAATGACAAAGAGGGGGGGTTTAATTAGAATTGGTGTGAATACACATTGGATTTCCGTTTATATCCCCAATACCATTAAGGGACCATACGCATTCATTAAGACGAACGCGCGGCTTATTGTCTGAAATTAAGGATGAAGAAAGTCATGGGAAGATCTATGGAAAAGACACTTGTCACAGGACCCATTCAGAATAAGGGACTAACTAGTCCGAGGGTCAAATATGGCGACCCACTACAAAGCTTACCGTCTAATCCGCTAATAGACACTGAATAGGTATCCCGTAGTAAAGTATTCAAGTGGGTCGGCCATATTTGACTCTCGGACAAGTTAGTCCCCTATTCTGAATGGGATCACAGTAATGGTGTAGCGTTTATTGTTTATGACTTTCTGTGGTTGATGTAAAAAATGCCTCAAGCTGGATCTGTGCCACCTATGACAGTTTATTAAATGTAAGCACTATGTCATCACTGACACACGATTCACGAAATAATTTAGATAATGAGTTACAGGCAAATAGAGAGTTTTGGCAAGGCCTTCCGTACGACGTATAACGTGCGACGTCATCACTTTGTGCGTAGTTTTTCTCAAGGACAAGTCATAAGNGGGTCTAAGTTAAAACCCTAAGACCTAGTACACGTTACTGGATGAGCAAGTTGTTTCGGCTGGGAATCTGAGTATCTGGTGTACAGTAGGACATCTCTTTGTTCTAATAATATGCGTTCACTCATGTAATCTAATTCGGTTGGTTTGTTCACACAGGTTTTCATTTAAAACCGCTTAGGGCACAAGATACTTCTTTAACCCCCCTTTACACTGGACGGCGTCCTTTCTGCGTCCTTTGTGCCATCATGACACTGGCATGGCTGTGGTCGTAGAAAGGAGGCACAATCATCGTTTTGGTTGCAAAATGAATGCTTAATGACCGGCCAGTAGTTGGCACGTAAAGTATTATTGACCGTGCTGTAGTGCGCAGAAGGGACGCTGTCCAGTGTAAAGGGGGCTTTACACAACTGTCCAATTAATGATTGAAAAGTAGGGTTCCTCCATGCCCTGATGCAGTCTAGGTAATCAAAATAAACAGTGTATCGTCTAATGACAAGGAGGGGGGGGATAATTAGAATTGGTGTGAATACACATTGGATTTCCGTTTATATCCCCAATACCATTAAGGGACCATACGCATTCATTAAGACGAACGCGCGGCTTATTGTCTGAAATTAAGGATGAAGAAAGTCATGGGAAGATCTATGGAAAAGACACTTGTCACAGGACCCATTCAGAATAAGGGACTAACTAGTCCGAGGGTCAAATATGGCGACCCACTACAAAGCTTACCGTCTAATCCGCTAATAGACACTGAATAGGTATCCCGTAGTAAAGTATTCAAGTGGGTCGGCCATATTTGACTCTCGGACAAGTTAGTCCCCTATTCTGAATGGGATCACAGTAATGGTGTAGCGTTTATTGTTTATGACTTTCTGTGGTTGATGTAAAAAATGCCTCAAGCTGGATCTGTGCCACCTATGACAGTTTATTAAATGTAAGCACTATGTCATCACTGACACACGATTCACGAAATAATTTAGATAATGAGTTACAGGCAAATATGTTTTACGTATACGTAATGCGGGAAAGAGATGACACCTTCGTATAATGAAAGTTTCCGTTATCTAAGTGAAGGTTACAGAACTTTCATTAAGACTGGAATATAAATGTATACATAGACTGACTTTGTTGTGCTAATTCATAAAACCAGCACACACATTTACCAAGTGAAACATGCATATGGCGAAGTCGTTCACTCACAGACCCGTAGACAGGGGGTTTGTTACAACCACCATTTTGAACGATAAAAAAACCCGCTCTAAATCAATATTCGATCTAGGTCCTATGTCATTAATCAAGTTGGGTCAACTAAGGGGATAAAAAATTGCTGGCTACAGTCTTCTTGCCATTCTGCATGTTTAATAGATGACTTGTCGGAATCTAAAGTCNAACAACAGGATCTGCGGTATCAATTGACGTAAATAACACATTCCATTCAACATCTTAATTAATCATCTATCTAAAAAGAATCCAAATATTATAATATTTATATATAATATAAATAAAAATAATATTAAAAAAAACGCATACGGAGTGAGACCTGCCAAAACCACTGCTAGCTTTCTCGCGTACGTAAAACGTATTACGTATTGTACTATACGTTACACGTCATACGGAAGGCCTTGCCAAAACTCTCTAATATGTTTTACGTATACGTAATGCGGGAAAGAGATGACACCTTCGTATAATGAAAGTTTCCGTTATCTAAGTGAAGGTGACAGAACTTTCATTAAGACTGGAATATAAATGTATACATAGACTGAGTTTGTTGTGCTAATTCATAAAACCAGCACACACATTTACCAAGTGAAACATGGCGAAGTCGTTCACTCACAGACCCGTAGACAGGGGGTTTGTTACAACCACCATTTTGAACGATAAAAAAACCCGCTCTAAATCAATATTCGATCTAGGTCCTATGTCATTAATCAAGTTGGGTCAACTAAGGGGATAAAAAATTGCTGGCTACAGTCTTCTTGCCATTCTGCATGTTTAATAGATGACTTGTCGGAAACTAAAGCCACTGTAAGGAGAGAATAACGGCTCAGTTTCTTTTCTCTGTCTATGTGGATGACATGTGGCATTATCTCCAAAATTGCAGCTTTGTTTTATGATCTGCCATGATCCATGCTGTAATGGCTGAAGTTGAAGACTTGTGGCAAATGGAAATGGCGTGAATAATGTGGGCTTGACAGGAATGTAATATGGAATAACCAATAGTGCTTTGAAATGCGGGTGATCCGAAGTAGGGTTCACACCAGGTTAAGCTTAGATTTTACCTCGACTAAATGGGATCATTGCTTATTGAGATTTATTAAGCATCGATTTCGTTGTCAGAGGGCATTCACTTTAACCAATTGAGATCACCAATAGATTACTACGTTATTTACACTTGGAGTCTAAGCCTCCTAGATTTCTAGGCTAGGAGTCATAATGAAGTCCTTCATAGGTCTAAGTTGATCTTGATGTGAACGCCTCCTGCAGTCTTTATATAAGGTAAATGCAAGAATTTGAGTAAATTCCTAGGACGTTAGATCAATGCTGGTCAGGATTGTAGGAGCAGTAGTCGAATGAAAAACTGTGGCTTCAGGGAAATTTCACTTCGCAGAGGTAAAAGGGAGTATTTTTTAGATTAAAGATACATTTGGTTTAATTATGACGCAGATATCGGTCAGTTTTAGAAATCAGATGTCGAAATGTTGATTCGGATGGTATTAGGCCTATTCGTGAATATTCTAAAATCAGTAATATATGTGGTCACTACACATAAATGAAAAATGATTCGGTTAGTTTTGGATGTGGGTTTAGAAGTGTTGGTTGGAAAAATAGTATCAATTTTGTGGTCCTTGGTTATCCTGCAATGTATTTTTGGTTTAATGATATTTCTTTCGCTGTGATTGAGAATGTTGGGAGATGGCCAAAATACGGGTTAGGAACAGAAAAGAGAGCAAATTAAATTTTATGGGAGTGGGCCAAAATTTACGGGTTGCGTGAGAATACTTGTTTTAACATAGATTGCAAACCGGATATACAGAACAGATATAAGGGGGGACTTGATGGCAGGCTAGTGAAGCTAATAGTGGGGCCTGCCTTTACCATTTTTACGAATAGGCCCCTACTATATTGTTAAGCATGTCCTTTTCACAATCGCATACAGCCATCTTTTGTAAGCAGGACTGAGGTCCTGGTTGTTTACAAGAATTAAGATAGTACACAACATAGCCTACTATTGATTTTTTTTTAATTTGGCAAATGGTTGCTTCTGTGACGAATTTGTCTACAATAATTTTAAGTCCGACGAGCTTTTTATATCAGGCTTATCTCACACTTTTGTGAAAGATGGAAGATTAAAAATGTATCATTATCTTATTATTATATTTTACTCTCTTTTAAAGGATGAAGGAAGACAGTTCTCCATCCCGGACTAAAAAACCCAAAGCAATGCCGAGGAAAGCACACGGTGGGCAGAGTCATATCAATGGCGACGCACCGGACGGGGCGTTCGAAGAAGTCGAGGCCAACGCATCCCTTCGAAGAGGCGGGTCATTCAAAGCCCCAAGTTTAAAATACTGTAGCAGTAAATATTTTGCCGGGGCGGCAGCTGCTGGTGCTTCAAATTTTGAAACAACCTCGCCTTCCAGATCACATTCCTGCAGACGACCAAGGAGACCACGTGACCTGGAGATTTCGTCACGTGAGTATCGTCCCCGGGCACTCAGTATGCCCTCCAAAGGGATGCATGGTCGCCCAAGACACCCTGAACACGCAGACGATTCAGAATCTGGAGCAATCGGACCGGACAATGTTGAGAATAACGACGATGAATATTTGATGAAAGTACGCTCATTTACTCTTTCGTCAAAGGGACTGAAAAATCGTGGCGACTCGACGAAGCGGAAGTCCCGCAGTAATCAAAGCGTGAAGTCCAGTGAAAATTACGTCATGACGGAACAGGAATTTCGTGAACGTGCGTCCAGCGTGACCTCCATGGGCAGTGGGGCTCACTGTGACAGCAGTTCTGACATCAGCGGCGACGGGGAGGTGCCGCCTTATAAAGTCGTCATGCTTGGAGCACCAAAAGTGGGACGAACCGCGCTGGCGAGACAGTTTCTGACGTCAGAATACCTAGGGGCGTTTGATACGAGTATAGGTAAGTAGAATTAGCGTCTATCCTTGAATGCTGCAGAATGCACACAATATGATGCATACAGAATATACAAACAAGAATTATCCAAGATAACAATGAATCTCTCGCCTAATCATGAAATCCTGGTAGTTTGGAGAGAGTGGGGTCAGATATAAAAATAGTCCCACTGATTGCGGTGCTGCAATGAGTGAAAACTGACATAATCTACAGGATAGTACATAACTACATTACACTGCGAATTAACCTCTGTGTCATTTATGTATTCATATTGAAAACAACATTAACGCTAAATGCTTACGGCCTCATTTTCGTTCTCTAACCTCTACCACTGAAGTTAGCCCCTTCATCCCCCCCCCCTCTTTAAAAAAACTAAAACAAGAACACAGAAACAAAATTAAACAACTTTGCAACCTAGTGACAAACATTGTACAGCAATATTTTCCTATTTGACTATTTTCAATTTGCCGATGCAATAAAGTGAATGATGATCAAATGAACGATACATATTTATATCCCCCGTCCCTTATATTAAATACCCCCTGTCCCTTATATTAAATACACCCTGTTCCTTATATTAAATACCCCCTGTCCCTTATATTAAATACACCCTGTCCCTTATATTACATACCCCCTGTCCCTTATATTAAATACACCCTGTCCCTTATATTACATACCCCCTGTCCCTTATATTAAATACACCCTGTCCCTTATATTAAATACATCCTGTCCCTTATATTACATACCCCCTGTCCCTTATATTAAATACACCCTGTCCCTTATATTAAAAAGCCGTAGGTTGGCCATCGAAGCAAACATAACTGCGTAGAAAACCCACGGGTGACGCCCCATGTAATAAAACAAAGACAAGATCATTTATTTTTCAACTCAAGAAAACCCTTAGTATTTGATTACCGTCATGATATCCGGGAGGAAGTGCTGAGATATTGTCTTTATCAGTCTTAACAAGGGATCATTTTCCTGCTGCACAAATTGAAAAAAGGAGACTGATGATAAAATAATGACAGTGATATTGACTGGAGAAAAACATCAAACCGCTGTTTTCTGGGTAAATCAATTATGTTTCCACTCCGTATACGTCTTTTGTTTAATATACTACGTAATAACACCCTTTAAATCAAATTGAAGAGTAATAAACATTACTGCCGTAATGTCCATGAAAACAATACCAATTTGCAGCAATATGTTTGACGCATAAACATACCATTTTTGAAATACGCTAGCAGGCATCATTTCTAAGGGCACCCATGCGCTCTGGGAGTTTCGGTTTCGTTTTACCAAAGACCTCCCAGGATTCAATTAGGAAAACGAATGCCTGCAAACAATCAGCGACAGCCAAATATCGGTTTCAGAGCAATCTAGCTAATTCAAAATCTCTTCACGTTTCGGCGACAGTTCGATCAAAGCGATATCCCTCAACAATGCAATTGAACCATTCCAGGGTTTAAAAGCATCAGTGTGCGCATATCTGCATTATCTTTTTGTACTCTTGAAAGCTGCACGAAAACAGACACGTTCAATTGGCTCCCTGCAGAGAGGCACCGTATGCCTCTAGTTAACAATGCAATAATGGAGATTCGATTGATACTGATCACGCTACTTTATCGACCTGTCCACCATCCTGTAATTATGAGATGTTAAAAAGAGCAATGGTGTACTAAAACGCATACAAACGCGACTTGCTAGAAAGAATGCGATGTAGCACAAATTTCATGCAAAAAGAATACCGCGGGTATACAATCTATATAGTATTATTTATAAACGGACCTGTACGCCGTAGTACGATTTTAGTTGTACATATGCTCTCAAACGCCAAGTTTTTTTCTCGTGAGATATAGTTTTATAGTACGCCGTAGTACGATTTTAGTTGTACATATGCTCTCAAACGCCAAGTTTTTTTCTCGTGAGATATAGTTTTATAGTTATCAGATACCTCGGATCAACATTCCTGCATTTTCATTTTTCGTAAACTGATAAGCTTTGTTTCAAAATGCATTTTATTGGATGACGAATTCCTAAAAGCGAGTCATACCTGTTAGCTAGACCGGAAGTGGACCTCTCTTCTACGCAAAATAAGAACCCGAATGAAAGTGTGTAGAGAGAGCATGAGAAGTGGTCAAAGATAGTACATTAGTGTAAACACTCAACTCCCTTTTCACAGCCGTAGGGGAAGATAACACGACAGTGCGATGTAAACTCCTCGTCTCTCTTTTCTCAAGTACACTCACGGGGCACACTCGTGGTAAATAACGCCCCCCCCTCATACACGCACACCTACCCAGGAACACATATGCGCATAACAACATATATCAACACACGCCTGCACATGCACATGTACACAAACACACACACACACACACGCACACATCAATCATATTGACCGCAGTCTGTGCCGTCAACATCATGTTAAGCACCGGCAGAGCTAGATTTCCAGACTCTGCGGTCCTCCTTGAAACTGGAAAGCTTAGTTGTATTCTCTAAACATACATCGTACGCACATTCACACACACACACACACACACACACATACAGAGAGATATAGGGAGAACGCACTGCTGTTCCAATACACATTAAATCGTACTTATAATTAGGTAAAGTAAGTGAAGTGCGATTCTCCAATCAGATATGCACACAAGGGAAATGTCCCGACGTTGTCCTTACGGCAAAACTGTCCCCAAGAAGGGTCCATCTAACCCGATACGTCCAACCTCTGTCACGTGAACAGACATTTAACAAGATAAACAGAAAATAACACATTTGCATCTGGCAGTTAATCTATATACCGATGAACCCAGGGAACGCCTTTGTGATGACCGTTTGATCGATTACTGATATTAACTGACTCGGCGGAAATGATATAGTTTTTGGGGTTATCTACGTGGCTTTGGCTTATCAAATGAGGTGTCTAGAGAGCATAGACGATATCAAGGCTGGGTACAAATAGTCTAATGTACTTGGGCTATACATTCTTAGACGTCTAAAACCAGATAGTTGACCATGCAAGGTCGATTTTGCTGGATTGGTTCAAGAGCTTTTAAGAACAAATGCTATATACCTAAATGGGCAAATGTCACCCCTAAAAGTCAACAGAATCATACAATGTTTAAGGGTAAATTACGAAACCATAAATTATAGGTAAGCGGCCTTGTACATAATGGAACATAAAGTAGACGGCTCAATCTTAGCAGACTAACATTTTAGACCAAAAACTGACTTAAGCTATTTTGTGAAGCCGTCCTCGGAACGTTTAATTTATGTCAGAGAGAAACGATATTAGAGCTTGTGAGTTATCATTACAGCACCTGGGTACAACTGCATATACGCCAGTGAGAGGTACGCCCAGCGTTAATAGATTACCAGAAGACATGCCTATTACTTATTTATATTTCCGAAATTAATTTTGGAATAATAAATGGAGTAGGGATCATCCCCATTAAGACAATGGAAAATAATTTTGCCGAGTCCACCCATTGTACCATGGCATATGCTTCACGAGACGAGTAGCCTACATATATGTAACTGTTACTGCTTAAAGGCTATTTTTTCTGTTTTTGACATGAAAGTATAATTTTGGATTCTATTTTATTTATTTATTTATTTATTTATTTATTTATTTATTTATTTATTTTTGCATTGTCACATTTTCAATGCTTGTGATGCTATGGTGTCAGTCCCATGGTTCGTTCTCGTTTGTTTTGTATATCGATATGTGTACACGGTTCGTATGCCTTTATTATATGGAACCTTTCTCAGTCCTTTTGCGGATCGAAAATAATTTGTTAACTTAAATTAAGCAAAATCAACGCCATGTTATTTTTTTTTAAATGTAAATAAATGTTTGGCAAACTTGTGTGAAGCAATCCATTTGTGACCAATGAAAACAAGGTTCAGTTTATCGCTTGTCGTGTCCACGGTTCCTCAAAGAGCGCAACAAGATCAGAACAAACTTGGCATTAATGTAAATGGCGGATTAGCGTGTATATTCCCATTACTGAAAACCTTGGGGATGCCATTTGAATTGTCCATTTCGGAACTGGTAGCCTTCAGGGCGATTACATGTCTTGTTATACTATATTTGATGGTAGACGCATCCATTAAGTACTACGTTCTCCTACATCATGTTGCGAAACATTCTGCTATCGGCTGATTGCAATTCAAACATAAACTGTGTTATCATGGTCCTATTCCTGGTTTACAATGGACCCTTACAAAGTTATTTAGCAATATCTGGAAAGTCATTTTTCCCAAAAGGACTAAAGTCGAAAATCGGTCTATAAGCCTAGACATGCCATGAACTTTCATCGGCTAAATTGCGTTTGAACGGTCTTAAAGACCACGAAGTCTGTTCTTTTTCTCAACTCCCACCGGTAATCTTATTTAGGCCCATCAGTTTCTCCAACAACATTAATTGAGGACTTTTGATCAGTATTGCAGAGTGGTCTTCTCGCTGTTGGAAAGTTTAGCTGTTTTATCTTAACCCAAAAAATATATTCGCTTTGTGAAACACGCCCCTCAACAAAAGTTGTAGAATCCTTTAAAACAGTCGGTCATTTGAACAAAGTAATCATATTTTCCTTTGAAGAAATATAAACATATTTGGTGCACGACAGCATATTGAGTCAAATAAGACTTAATTTTTTTAAGTTAAGAACAACTTTCGAACGTTCGCCAGTTTGTGAAGTAGGCCAACGGTCTGATAAATAATAATATAAGAAGTATCTGTGATGTGGAAGGTGGGAATGGCACTGTGTTGTCTGTTGGACAAAAGGTTCGTGGAGGAATTTATAGCTTTAGATTGTGTGTAATTCATATTGGTAGAATGATGTCAAAAACGTCACGTTTTGAGTGGCAATGGCCGAGAAAGTGAAGACTTTTCAATTTAGTTGTCATACGTAAATATTGGCGTAAAGAATATTGAATTGCTTTTGACTGAAATACCAGCGTTAGCAGAATTGTTTCCTATTTTGAAGTCATAAATAAACATC